CCGCGTGGCCGGAGCAGGACGGGAGCTGGAGCTCCCCGCGACGCAGGCGCCCTGCCCCGACGGCCGCTGGGGACTCCCGCTCCCGGCGGACACCGCGCGGCCTCCGGGAATTTCCCCGCGGAGGAGCGAGAGGGGAAAGTGGCGAAGCCTCCAATGGGGGAAGAGGGTGGCGTGCCCCTCCCCCTTCCGATTCTGGGCTTGGCTCCGAGTCAAAAGGGGCCGTGGCGACCGTGCCTCTGGCCATGCACAGAGTGCTTTTCCTGCAGCGTTACGGGCAGCACCTTCCGAGCATGCTGGAGCGGCCTCGGTGCCCTCCGTGGTTCCCCCAACTTCCTCCACGGACTTTCTACCTCTTCCCAAATTTGGGTTTCTCATTCCCAGGATCTCAAAAGCCCAGATGGTGTTTATTAATACGGATTGGACTCCTTTTAGCATTACAGTTGCATTTATAATTTTATTATTTATACCTGCTTGGCCCCAGTGCTCCATCTTGGGTCTTCCTGTCGAGTTTAATCCTAATTTTTATTCTGTTCAAGTGATATTAATTCTCCCAGTCACTGACCCCTCTATCTTAGCCTAAAAAACATAACCTCCATGGCATTTTTAACTCTCTTATTCCCTTCCATTTCGTTTTTTATTCCCTCTTTAACTTTTATGCATCTTTAATATTCACTAAAAAATAGCCCCCAGCTTCCCATGACAACATACAGGGCAAATGAAACTAACCTCAGTTATTTACTAATTACTTACTCAGGAATCCGCTTTCTCTACCACTCGGCCCCACATTTCAAGGCAACGTAAACATACATTAAAATATTTCTCATCCGGCGGCCGCCGCCGAGTGCTCTGCCTTGCATTTTTAAGGACGTTTGGATCGTCACCAATTTTTAAAATCTCGCCTTTTCTCAGCGCGCCGGAGCGACCGGTCACGTTTTCGAGGGATGCAAAAAGTTTCGATGGAGCCGCCAACCTTTGGCATCAAGGCGCGGAGGGGAAGCTAAACCTTTCGAGCCGGGCTCATCGCTCAGGCATCCTTCAAAGGAAGCGCTCTGTATAAATATCATAACCTTAATTAATTGAGGTAGGACCGTAAGCTTTTGGCACGACCCGTTTCTCTAGCCTGGAGCTACCACGTGCCGGGGCAGATTTTTGGAAAGGAAGCCAGCATAAATTAAACTCCGCAGCATTAAAGGATCGCAATTAAGCTCAGCAGCGCTAAAGAATCATGGGGGGGGGGGGGCATGGATGTGTTGAAGGGAAATGGGAAAATAAGAGGCTTTTGCAGGATAAATCCAGCACCCTTCAAAGCTGAAGCCATGCAAAAACGAAGAAATGCCAGCTAGAGCATCATAAATTGAACAATGCATTTACCCCACTGTGCATTAAGAGCTCCAACAGCGAGATCAATTCTCAACTCTTTACTCAACCGGTAATTCATACAGGTCTTTGATGCTAGGCACGAACTACCGCTTAACTGTACAACACTGTATTACTTAGAGGGGAAAAAAATACAATAAAAGCGGGGTAGAGATCGCTCTGAATCCCTCTTCAGTCGAGATAAAACAGATGGATCATCAGGACTAGAAACTTGAGGTTTAGAAGCAATCCGCTCCCACCACCTTGGCGTCCACTTCTATGCTGGATATTGCAATTTTGGGGTCGGCCTCCCGAGTTGGCTAACCGGATAACGTGGATAATTTACATTTCCAAATTGAGGTCTGCATCTCCCTCCAAGTTAACGAAAGCACTGAGAAATCCCACCGGGGATTTGCTTCCCCCCCCATATACCTTTTTTAGGGAACTCACGAGAGAGATAAAAACGACCCATGAACTGCTGCATGTAGTAAAAAAAAGACGCTGCTTTATTTGACCGCTCTAATCTAAGCCGATTCCCAGCTTGTTAGTAGTTCACCTTGCACACACGTATATTCCACATTTCCCCTGCAAAAAAAGCTGCTTTTCTTCTTGCACACACACACTTACACCACCCAAACACGCTGATCTGCGCATGCAGCTGTTCCACCCGCTGCAAACTGGGACGCGGCAGGACTGAAGGGAAAAAAAAAACACCCTCCACATTGCATTGGACTCTTATCTCCCATCTTCCTCAGCTGGCTGGGGACAATGGAAGTTGTTGTCCAAGAGGGCATCCAAATTAAGAAGGCTGTCGTAGCAGCACATCCAGGTAGAGGTGCCCTGCCGTTGAGTAAAAACCCACGTTGCCATGATTGAGAAACAACTCTCTCAAAACAGCAAAGGGGGGGGGAGATGAATTTTTCCACCCGATAAAATGCTGAAAAATGACTGCCCCCGCGGGCGCTTGGCCCCCTGCCCTCCCATTCAAGCGGCAGGAAATACAGAACAAAGGAGGCTTTTCTGAAGCTGAATGAAGAGGTTTTGCATGCGAAACGGGACAGGCTCCGTTCGGGGTCTTCTTTTAAGGGGAAAAACTTCCGCCACGCTCCCGCTGGCCCAAATCCCTGGCATTTTGCAAACGCGTTTTGCAGTTTCAGAACGCCACTTGCGCAGAAAATCCGGGCTTTTTTCTCGGCCCGGGGCTAACCCAAGCCCTGGATTTAGCGCAGGAAGGGGCACGTCTGGCGAACAGAGGCTCCTGAATTAAACAGCTCTATTAAAACCCCGGTAAGTTGTGCAACCAGCCGGACTAACGCTGACTCAGTTCAAGAGGCTTTCCTAAGAACCTGGTTAGTTTCCTCATTCTCATGACAAAGGGAGCCCAACTATAAATCACATCGGGTCGCAACGCCCTCTGCTTTGCTTGGACTGCCCTCGGTGATTTATTCAGCAATCCACGGTTAAATGGCGGCTTTGCGTAACCGGGTCCTCCGTTTCGGCACGACACACTCAGCTATCATGCGGCGGCCGAGTTTGCCTGATAAAACTTCGCCAACATGGTTTGGAAACGATGGGTTAATCGGAGCAAGCCGGCTTACCCACTATGGCCTATTCAGGAACTTGTGGCAAAAACACCTTTTGGCTCTCAGGCGTCGAAAGAGACTAACCCTGGTTGGCGTGGCTGGTTTGCCGTTTCGAAGACACGGAAGGATCCCGACTCTGGACAGCAGATGAAATGTCTGTTCACCTGCCTTCCTCACGTGGGTCAAACCCTTTAAAAACATTTAAGGCACTGGAAAAGTTAAGGCAAGGCGGTTCTCACTCCGAAGCTGAACGGAGACGTTGGCACCAAAAATTCTGCCCCCCCCCTATTTATTAACGAACCCGAACGTGCCCATTTTCAACTAACTGAACCCAAGGTCAGCCGTAACCCGACCACGGAGCTCTCCGATTATCTGGCAGAAAATGTTGGAGCTCCGAGGGAATGTAGCGCGCTTCCATCCTGCGGGATCCTCGCTCTGTGCTCCAGGCTGGAGTGGCAGGTCAGAGGGTGGCCTTGAAATCAGTCGAGTCCAGCTTTTGGAGCTGGGATTTAGTGGCCCCGCCGGAGGGAGACGGCACGAACGAGGGAGTCGCTTTTGGCAACGGAAAGCGGGTGTCCAGGTTTGCTCTCGAGCAAAAGTTCGGCGAGCTCCATAAGGAGAAATCAGAGGGGTGGAGGAGGACGTTCCCCCATTTGGGAGGGAGTGGTTTCCGCCCCCTCCCTTGCCCCACACCCATCACCCTGCTCAGATCTTCACAAACAAAATGCTGGTGACGAGGGCGAACCCGGCCAGGAGAATGATGACCTTGAGGATGCGCTGCTCGGAAGACCCGAGTTCGTGGGGCAGAATCTCCAAGAAGGTGATATAGATAAAAGTTCCCGTGGCCAAGCCTTCCAAGACGCTGCGGGAAAGGCGAGACAGAGCAGCCATGGGGACCTCTGTCAGAGCCACGCCCAGCCCGATGCCGAACGGGGACATGATGGAGAAAATGACCAGGCAAATGGCCACAACTCGAGGACGCAGCTTCCCTTGCAGCAGCTTGAGGCTCAGGCTGAAGGCGATGGCCCCTTTGTGGATGAGAAGAGCTAAGCAGATCTCCAAGGCTTGGGTGCCATCTTCCTGCAGCCCCACGGCCAGCCCCTCGAAGATGGAGTGCAGCGAGAGGGCCAGGAGAAGCACCACGGAGCGGATGGCTGAGTGGGCATTGAAGTCCACGTGGACGTGGGCGCGCTCACTGGCCAGGCGGTCCCGAGTGAGGGGCTGGGACCGCAAAGATCCCTCCACCCAACCCTGGTCCTGTGGGGATGGAGGCCGATGGGAAGCAGAGCCCAAGAGAGCTTCAGTCTCTTCTAGGGAACCCGAAGGGTCCTTGTACGCCAGCACAATCTGCTCCAGCACCAGGACCAGGAAGAAGCCCATCGCCAGAATAAATTCCTGCAAGGGGAAATGGAGCTGTCCGGGGAGGAGGGGAAAAAGAAGAGAAGACCATCAGCTTCAGCTCCCTGCTCCAGATCCTGCCTTTCCTTTTCAGTTCGCCAGGACCCTGAGCATCTTGAACCCCCGCGGCTCTCATTCAATGAATTACTAATCTCACACGCAAAAAAGAAAAGCAAGCTAACAATCAAAACACAACGGTCGGAGGGAGCGCTCTCTTGGTCGTGGAAGGAACCCAGAGGCTGGGGCCAGCAGGCTGTCCCTTAAGTAGCCAGGATGACTCAAACAGAACTTGCATGTGCAGAGGCAGTCTACCACAGAAGCTAATTTGTGGAGAAGCTTACAACGTTTGGCTAGCTGCTGGGGGAAAGAGGATGAAGTCTGCCTTGCAGACCTGCAGCAAATGGGCAGGATTTCTTCTCCTTCTCCATTAAGCAGCCAATGCTAATCTATCTTCGAATTGCAGAGGAATTCATTGGCACACATCCACTGATCACATGAAAGGAACGCTGTCTGGCTGCCAAGAAGCTCCTCTTAAGATTCCACCCCCCAATCGCCCAAGCCCCAAATGGGACACTTATGCCCTCTAAACTAAAATGGGCTTTTCCTTTCGAGAGAGAATAAAACCCAGAACTTGGGATCTGCACCCGTGGGCCATTCCCCGTCCTCGCTCACCGTGATTCGCAAGTCGTTGAGGGCCTCGTTAATGCTGGCGAGATAATTAGGAACCAAATCGAGGAGACACGTCCCCAGGAAGATGCCACCAGCAAAACAGCTCACCAGACTTAGAGTTTTTCTTTGGCGACCTGTTGGAAGAAGATGGAGGACAGATGGAAAAATTAAAACGCTTGCCAGCATGAACCGGGAAAAATGTTTTTGTAGCTCCAGACTCCCTTTGGCAGACATAAACACATCCAAGCTGCACAATCCCCATTCAGCAGCAAAATAACTCTTTTTTTTTTTTCAATGAGAATTTTCTTTTTTAAGGACCGACTGGGAAGATGAAGATTGGTCTTGAAACATATCCAAGAGGTTCTGTTTGGAAAAGGGTGATCTGGATGCTTCCTCTGAGTCCAAATACTCAACATTTAAAACAACAACATTGCTTTCTCAACAGCATCCAATTTGTTTTTGGCCATTCTTTCTCATTTCCTTTTTTTAAAAAAGTGTTATCAGCTATACTTTTCCCCTCCCTTCCTTCCAAACATGGGGTCTTCCAATTCTTTATATTCCCCAAGAAAAGAGCAAACATTACTCTACTAAACTGGAGAGCATATCCTGATGGGGAGGCCTCTACCCGAAGCCAAAAATATTTCCAGCTGGGGCCTTCCTCAAGATCAGGAATTTCCAATAAATATTTAACTTCCTGTTTTCACTATTTAGACAGAGAGAGAGAGAGAAAGAATGGTATCAGCTGAAAACCAACCAAGACAGTTTTGATCAGTTGGTATCTGCCCAAAAAATTTAAAGAGAACGAACACTTGCGATGCATCACTTCTTAACGCCCTTCTTAAAAACAGAAGAGTTTCTAAAAACAGCAAAGAACATCCCATCGCTGCTTTTCTGGGGCGAAAGGAAAGACTGTAATGTTCAAACGGTACACGTGTGCGTGATTTTAAAACAAAAGTAGGTATCAGGAAGAGGATTATCACTAGCCCCTTCGGATCCAGCTGGGGGGGATATCCAGCATCCCCAAACTGCCCTCCCCAACTCGGTTCCTCTTGGCATGGATTCAAATTTTTAAAAAAAGTTGTCTTTTTTTAAAAAAAAAGTCTTGTGTATCACATCCTACAGGGCCACGCAGAGCAACGAAGACGTTGTGGGGCTCGGAGGCTGAATTTTAACAAGCAACGTTTAAAGGAACTGGGTTCTGTTTAGCTTAAGGAAGAGACGGCTAAGGGGAGATACAATAGTCTTTTAATCCTCAAAGGATACGGATTTATTCTCCGTAGCGCCCGCGGGTACAAGAATCGGGGTAGAAGCATTACAGGAGCAACATACGGAGGAATCTCCTGGCCATGAGAGCTGTTAAACTATTATTTCTTTTTATTTATAAATCAAATTTATATCACCGCCCAACTCCCCCACAAGGAGGGACTCTGGGCGGTTCACAACCGGGTAGAAGCATTACAGGAGCAACATACGGAGGAATCTCCTGGCCATGAGAGCTGTTAAACTATTATTTCTTTTTATTTATAAATCAAATTTATATCACCGCCCAACTCCCCCACAAGGAGGGACTCTGGGCGGTTCACAACCAAACAATTTGAAACTAATAAAAACATAAATAATACAGCATAAAATACAATTATTAAATATATGAATAAATATGAAAGTCGTGGGGGCTCCATCGCCAGAGGATTTCCTGCAAAGGCTGGACAGCCACTTGTGTGAGATGGCGTGAGGATCCCTGCCCTGGGGTCAGATTAGAAGACCCCTAAGGTGCCGTTCAATTCTAGAGTTCCCCATGTAAACGACGGAAGAAGAGCCCTGTTGGATCCCCACCTGTCCATCAGTAGCTTCTGGATCACCAGAAGACATCAAGACCCGATGCAGAAACCGGGGAAGGAGACTTGCTAAGTTCCTCGACATTCTGATTTAACTGGTGCAGGGAGGGAGACCACCTGATCGCTGCCTTGGACCCCAGACCCAGTAAACCCCCAACGCCTGGGTTACGCACCAAAGTTTGCATTGCTGGGGGCAGATCCCGGCCTCCGGAAGATCCACAGAGGGATGAATGCACACAGCAGAGTCACCAACAGGAGGAACACCAAAGAGCCGAGTTTCAACTCCAGGCCCTTGATGGAGCGGAGGGGAGTCCCGTACGGGTTCCACACCAGATGTTCCAGCTTGGCATCGGGGTCCCACGGTTCAGCCATCCCCCCCAGCCTGCAGACTCTTCAGCTTGGTTCTCCAAAAGCAGCCGAGTGGGTTGCACAGGCAGACGTCGCACGCACCACTTCAAGTCCGCGGCGTCCTCTCCATGCCCGGTCAGTTTCAACTTGCCCCAAACGTCACTGAGAAGCCGGAACCTAGAGGAAGAAACAGGGAGGATTCATAACGGGGGGGGGGGAACCAAAGCGAGCCGCACGCAGGGGGAGCGAATTCAGAGGGACGCCCACCGAAGATGAAAACCCAAGAGGGGTGGGGAACTGGCGGCCCTTCGGATTTTGCTGGCCTCCAAGCCCCAGCCCAGCCTACAAGGAAGAATGCTGGGAGTTGTAGTTTTATAACATCCAATTCCCCACCTCGAGATTGACCTTGAAAGGCCAGGCCAGGTTTCACCGAATTTGGCTCTCTCCAGGGATGCTAGATAGATATATTACAGCCCAGGCGTGCAAATTTTGCACAAGGGCGAGCAAGCGGACACGGAGCAACGGGAAACCATGTCAATGAATTCCCATTTTGTCCTTTGCTAAGTGAGCTTCACACCTTCTTTGATTTGCTTAGGAAGATAAGCTGCTCGGGGCAGAAACTCCTGTTTGGGTTTTTTTTTTTTTTTTACAAAAGCCTTTTTCTCCAGGGGGGCACCCTTTCTCTGCCCCCCCCCCTTTTCTTCACCTGGTCCTCTTCTCCATCAGACTGGAAAAGAAGGACCGCCGGCTTTTGCTAGCAATCTGAATTTTTCCCTCTTGCCGGGAGCCTTTGAAACAACCTGAATCCTAAACCAAGAGGTGCTTGCAAATAAAGGGGATTATCCTTTAGTTTCAGAGCCTCCAATAGGGGCAAGTCTCACAGTTATGACCAGCGCCCCCCCGCCATAACCCAAACTCAGCGGGAATTCAAACCCACGTCGCCCGTCTGCTCCGAACAAGCTTTTCTGCAATGACTCACAGAACAGAAATATTAATACTTTCATGCAAACTTTCTCAGCCTCCGCATCAAAACTGAACTGCCCTGAAATTTCCACTTACGAGACATCCAGTAACGTTCCCCCATCAGGCTGAACGAAGTTAAAAGGGTGGTTAATTTGCGGCTCGGTTGGGGAAAACAAGCTTCCCCACTAAACCACAATATAATTTCATTTCTTTGGACGTTTGTGAAGCCAGGCTTAGAGATATGCTTTCAGGGTTAAGGCCTCCATATCTTGGCTACGTTCACCCTTAATAAGACTTTGATTAAATGTGGTTTCCACACTCTGGAATAAGGTATTGGGAGCATATATCAATCCCCACAAACACCCACAGCTAAAAAAATAAATCTTTCTTTGTTGCTGGCATTTTCACTGGCAACGATCAACCCGTTTCATTTATTTATTTATAAATGTGGTTGATCGTCTGTGCTTTTAATTAACTTATTAAGACATCGGGGGGAGAAAAGCAGCGTAAGAGAAGAGAGAAGAACAACAGAAGAGATAAAAAGAATAAAATTATCTGTAAATAAACGGGAAGTTCACAATGGCCCTGAAATCTGAAGTCTGTTCTTTCCTTTGTCGATCCTATAGAACTAAGTTCACGGGATCATGAAAAAAAGCTGGAAAAAAATAGATAATTCCACCGCTCTTTATCGTTATGTCATTCATGTCATTCTCTGGTTTTGCTTGCTGGCCACCCAGAGTTTCTTGGCTATGAATTGGATTAATAGATAAATGCTTAAAGGATTCAAGGAGGCATGCACGTGATCGTGTAAGAGGCAAGCCATCAGCAAAAAAAATTAAGATTTCCCCTTAAAAAGGCTCACGGCCCAAATCATAAAGGCTGCGCGTTCCGTTCCTGGAATACCAGACGTTCATTCCTGAAGCGTTTTCCGTCTTCCCATCTTTTGAAATAAGAATAATTAAAAAAAAAAAAACTTAAGCCAGCAACTGAGCCCTCCCAGCGGATGAGTCAACAACCGATTCCAGTAATTCTCCGCTTCCAAGAAGAGGAAAAGCAGCTGTTAACCCCCAGCCCAAATTCAGGCTGGGTCCGACAGAGAAGAAAACAAAGATTTCGGGACGGCCTGCGGAGTTTCTGGGAAGCCGGCCAGGCGGGTCTGGGATACGGGAGGCCAAAAAAGTCCATTTCAATTCTCGCCCTCTGGGTCGCTGCCAAATTTCCCCCTCGGTTTCAGCTGCCCCCCCACTGCCAGCAGCCCCACCGCCAGAAGCACATTAGTGGGGCTCTGCCAAGTGGTGGGAACTAAATTTAACCGAGGTTTCCAGCCGCTTCCCCTTCAGGGGCGCTTTTAAAACCGCCGGGGCCGAGATCCAGCGGAGCAACATCTGAGCCAAGAGTGCACAGACAACGCCCACCCACAGGCTGCTTCGCTGGTTAGAAAGGGGGTTGATTTTAAAAAAGAGCCTCCATGGGCCAAGGCAGTGTATCTTTCAGCACCCTTTCGGGCTTCCGTTCCACTTTACGACAACCCCAGTGACGACGACCCATGGGTAACCAGCCGAACATCATAGTTCAACCACCACTGGAGGATTTAAAATCCAGATTTATATTCGGATTTTCCTGCTCAGAGAGGGTTTCTTCGCCATTCCACCACTTCAGCTTTTTCATTTGAAAGCCACCTAACGCCCCCAATGCCTTTTCGAGAACCCGGGACTGAAATATCCGGGGCACCCCCCCAAAGTCCCAACGTTGTCGGGCTTCTGAAATGAGCGATGAGCCAGCCAAGGGGGAAACCAATTTGTTCAAAGGCACTGAGTTAATCTATACCCGCCTTTTCCAGCTAAGACTCAAAGCCGAGGCGCGATAAAGACAAAGCCAATCCCGGCAGGGTTTTTTGCAAATAATACCTTGCAAATAATTAAGCTTTTGAGAAGCCGAATCTTGAAAATTCACAGCGGAGTTCAATTTCCTGTTTTGACACACCTGGGCCAGATTCCGAAGAAGCGAAAAATGCAGAATGATCTCAAAAGTGGAAGCGTCATTTAGTGATCCGTTACGCCCCACTTTCTTCCTACGAAGCTAGCGACGGCGGCCCTCGCTTCGTAACTGGAGAACAAGCCAATCCTAAATTAATCACCTGCCTTTAAACTACAAAGCGCAGCCAAGTTTGGCAGATAGTCTGGATTTCCACTTGTGTCCAGCAAGGACGATAGGAACTGTAGTTTGACTAGCGAGCTGCGGACGCCACCCGCGGATAGCACATAACACTGGAATAAAACCCCCAGGGACTAGTCTAAATTGAGGATTTCCTGTTATCTTGGAAAGGAAGGCATCTAATTTTTCATCCCAGTGTTGTCTTTCTAGCTGAAGCAGAGAGAGAAAGAGAGAAACGTAAATTAAAGGGGGGGGGGAGTCCTCCACTTGTACAGATAAAAAGAACCTATGGATGACGGTAATAATAATATCATTTATTATTTATTATTTATTCACATGCCATGCTAACGTCCAGCTAAATTCAGTGAGGCTGCAGGGCAAAACACGTGAATCGGGTCCCACAAGATTGGCTTCCAAATTGTGCAGCGGCTCCAGACAAACTTTCTCCCCCAGCAAACCCCCCAATTTCCTTTTTCAACGCCCCCCCCCAGCCCCAAGCCAGTGGCCATGAGTTCCACAAACCCTCAGCAGGAAAACACATCGACGCAGCCAACTGTTCAGATCCTCATCATTCCAAGACTTGGGTTCCTAGTCTGGCTGCCACTCTCCCCCTCCCATCTGGGGATCATGGGCACTGTAGTCCAGCACACCCGAACTGCACCAGGAGATACACCCTTGGAAGGGAGGTCACCGGGCCTTGCCCCAAAGGCGAACAGGGAGGGGGTCAGTTGGGGTCTTCCTTCACAGACCACCAACCTTCCCCCCTGGACTTGCTGGACTCCCAGCACCATTCTCCTTGGGGGCTGGGGAGCATGGGACCTGCGGTCCAAAACCGTCCGGAGCGTGTAATTAAGGGTTTGAGGCTCCCATATGACCCCTCTCCCCCTCCCCAAAAGGGGCAGCGGGGCAGAGAGCTGGTCCCGCCCCACCGCTGCTCTGCTGGGCCGCCGGCGGGAGACCCCCGACTCACCGACGGCGCTCGCGGACGTCCCAACTCGGCCCGCTCCGAAAGGGTCTGGACGATCCAAAGGGGCGGGGCTGGGGCCCAATTGAGGAAGGGAGTCAGCTCGCCCCGCCAATGGGCACCGCGGCCTCGCGTCGGCGGAACGTTCGAAAGGGCGTGGCGCCGGGGGAGAAAAGTCGCTCGCTCGGCCAATGGGAGCCCGGGCAGCGCTCCTTTTCGATCTGAGCGTTCGAAAGGGGGCGGAGCGGAGAGGGAAAAAGGCAAGGCTCGGAGGAGGCGGGATCCGAAGGCTCTCGCTCGGGTCCCTATTGGCAGAGCTCAAGACGTGCAGCATCCCTGGCCAATGAGGAGGACGCAATGCCAGAAAAGGCCTTCGCAGGCTTCAGCTCCGACGCAACAGACGGCCCGCCGGCATTGGTCATCACGTGGGAGAGGAACCTCGAGAGAGCGAACAGGCGCTGCAACAAAATGTTGCAGCATGGGGGGGGCGGCTGAGTCAGGGCTTCCCCAGAGGCCCACCCTCTTCCAGGAAACGCCATTAATTCCCCCTCCCCACGTTCGTTTACTAACTGGCTGGAGTTGGAGGAGTTCAAATGCAACACCCACCCCTAACCCAGGTTACAAAATGCAAAGGCTGTGTTCAGACAACCCGTGATGACCAAGGACATCCTCCGTATCCTGCCTTGCTTCAACCGGCGGCTCGGTGGTTTCCCCCCAGGGAGGAATGTCTGATTTCCCCACCATTTGCTGGACCACCAACTACCCAACCCCGGCTCATTCAGTCTACTTGGTTGTGTGAACGCAGCTGTGGTTGTTTTAGGAAGGCGCATTCGGTAAAGAACGCCCAGGAAACAGCCAACAGCCCAGATGTTTTCAATCACAACTCGAAGGCATGATGGGCATTGTAGTCCCAAACTTCAGAAGGGGCATTCCCAGGCAGGCCGCGGCCTTGGCTCGGTGTGCAATAGCAAGTTTCCATGACCTCAGTTGCACAACCCTCTACGGCAGTGTTCCTCAACCTCGGCAGCTTTAAGAAGTGTGGACTTCAACTCCCAGAATTCCCCAGCTGGCTTAAAGTTGCTGAGGTCGGGGAACCCAGGGCTGATCCAACCAGGCCTGCTGCTTAAAAGGGAAACGGCACCCAGCAGGGGAGGAATAAATAGCAAGAATCCCCATTCCAGTGAGATTTTCCCTCATTTACAACCCCCCTCAAAACAGGTCTTTAGAGCATGCACAGAGTGCATTCCGGTCTCAAACAGTCCACCGCCCTCTGGTAACTGGGAAAGGTTGGAATCCAGAGGATGTGCAAAGGGCTCCCCCCCTTCTCTCTCATCTCATCTGCCCCCCCCGAAAAACCATAAACTAACGAATCACGTGAATTCCCAAAGATCGGGAATTGTGCGGCAAGACTCTTCATAGCTGTATTCGCACAAACACATTGACCTAGGTTGGGAGGCAACTAACAGACGCCTTTGCACGGCACACTAACCTTGGTTAGTTAAACCTTTGATTCCTTTTTCATCCAGCTGTCCTGGTTATTTTAGAGTTCGATGAATCGTGCAGACCGGGAAAAAGTGTTACTCGTTCAGCCCGGCTCAACCCCACCAAAATAATATCCCGGCCAGCTCAACACTGAGCCAGTCCAAAGATGAATGCACCCATTTCACAGAAGTGGAAAACTAAGGCTGCCGAAATGGCCCCTGTACAATCAAGCTGGGTTTGAAATGCACACCTCCTCCCAAATGCACCTTTGCCCTCTCGATGCAAACATCTGTTTCCTAGGGGGGGGGAAATTGCTGCGTTAAAGGGGCAAAAGGCAAGATACCGAGAATTAGAATTTCTGTTGCTACGACGGTTGCAAACGAACGGGATTTACTCCCCGTGCCCTGTGGAAAACAGAAGTGTGCAAACCACACTTCCTGGCGAGGCACTTTCTACCCCCGTTCTGTGCCTGGCAGGTGAGTTTATTCGTACGTGACTTTCTTTAGCCCTTCTAATTGGCCGAAGATCATGGGCTGGTCTTGGAAAGGCAGATTCAGGATGTTGAAGATCCTGTAAGGAAGCAACTTTTAAACTCAAAGGCAAACACTTCCTGGTTGGGCTCTAGATGACAAAACAGGGACATTGTTCTCCTTCGCAACTTCTAAAATCAAGGAGGAAAAAGATCTGGGAAGGAGGACCGATTTCCTGAAGGTGCTGCACCCCCACCAAAAAAGCAGGGCGTTTGGGGGCCTCTTGGAAGACGAGCCAATGCCCCTGACCAACATTTGTCGGTTAGAGTTTGCTGTTCGGGGCATTCACGCCCGTGGTCTCCTGCATTGCCGTGGCTGCATTTAAAATTGCCTTTTTTTTTTTTCAGGCTCCCCAGAATCCTGCAAAGGGGGCAAGCGGGAAAGGGAGGAATTGGGGGGCTTGGAATCGGGATTGGAACCGGCTGGTTGCACCTTTCATCCGACATACTCCAGACTCTTATCTCGTTCGGCGGTCAGGGGTGGGGGAATGCCGGCGACAACGCAGAAGTTCATCTAAAGAATTCAGAGGTGCTCAGCGATTTGCATTTCAGGCCATGGATTTCGACAGCGCCAAACTCCTAGAAATTCTCTTTGAGGAACAGGAGGATCGGGACCCCCGAGACCCCCTCGCTGCAGCAAACGCCGGGCTCAGTTTTCTGCTTCAAGATCACCCCTACGGCTGCCTGTCAGATGAACCTGGGAGCTGCCCAGCCAGCCAGCTCCAGGTAAGACCAAAACCCTTTTTATATTGCTATAGCATCGCAGCAAGGTTCAAACGCCGCTTCTGGATCACGAGTCATTTGAAAAAGACCGGGCAGGGAAAGTTGCATTCGGGGTGTCCGGCTCCACACCCGGGAAGGTTAGGAAGACACCGAAGGAGAGTTTGAAAAAATCAGAGACGGAGAAAGGGTGTGATGGCGGGTGCCCGTCCGGTGGGGGCTGGACCCAAGGGCGGGTGTGAATTGGGGTCCAAAGAAACCCGTTGAAGAATTTGTCCAAAAAATGCAGTCAGTTTTGTTGCTGAATGGGGAGCCTTGCCCCCGGAGATGGTACCGGTTGTCATTTTCCAAGTTTCTTTTAAAAAGGATTCTACATCTACTCCCAGAAGTCAGAGGACTGCTCTGGATGGAGAATGGATCGAGTCCAGAAGACAAGCCGAGACGAATTCCTGGCTCGACTGGGGTTTGGAGGGCATTCCTCCGAGTTGGAAGACTCAGCCAGGCCTTTCGGCAACAGGGTCGGCCCGTCGGTCGGTCGGCCGGAGAAACCCGGTCGCGCTTCCCCGAAGCAAAGAAAAATTTATCCGCTGCTTTCAACCCGTTTTGTTCCTCTGCAGAGCCTGGCCGACCCCAATCCCGCAGATTTTCTGCAGCTCCGGGTCGACCCCAATGATGTGTACAACCCCCGGAGCCCCAGTGCGTCTACAGAGAGCGACAGCGGACTTTCCGACAGCCCCTGCCGAGCCCCCCTTCCTCCCGACCGATCACCCCCCATCGTCCTCGAGGTCCTCTGCGACACGGGAACATGGGAGGACACGGTGCCCCATCTTGTTCCCACCACCGCCCTCGGTAAATGTCCTCCGCGGGTGGAGAAGCCCCCGGGGGCTTTCTGACCCGGTTTTCCTAAATCAGGAGCGGAGGGTCTAGTCAGATTTAGGCCAGAGATGGGCTAAAAGAACATTTTTCTCCACCTATCGAGTCCTCGGATAGGCCGATGTGGTTGTTTGGTGGTGTTCAGGGTATCGTCGCAGGATATGAGCTGTTCCATGGAAAGCGGGTTTTTGCAAAGGACCGATGGTGGTTTTGTCAATGCTGATGGTGTTCAATAAATGATATTATTATTATTATTATTATTATTATTATTATTATTATTATTATTAATAGAGGGGGGTTTCAGTGAACGAGCAGTTCAGTTAAATTCCAGCAAAGAGAATCTAAGGAGGTGGTTGAGGGTTTTCCTGCCGAACCATCTCTGTCCCCGGAATTTTATCAGCCCCCCTCCACTCTGGATCGTACTTTTGGGGTTCTTTTCCAGAGAATGGGAGCCCCCCCGGGACCGACCCGTCCACCTGCATCCCCAGCCAAGCGTCGCTCGGTTTCTTAGAGGCGATGACCGAGATAAACCCCACCGGGGTTCCCACCGACCAGGTAAGATGCAATACAGGGGTAGATGAAGGTGTTCTGGAAGACAAGCCAGCGATCCAGTCCGATCACTGTGGTTTGGAGTGCAGGCCAGCATCACTAACTGGGTTAAGAGAGGCCATTTGGGACACCCCTCCCCCTCATTTTGCATCTGGAAACGCCTGACAAAGTTTCACCGTTCAGTGTTTTTCCGACTTGAAGACCTGTGGACTTCAACTCCCAGAATGC